CACCTATCTGGCCATTCCCTCCACCAGCTGCAGCCTGCCGCTGGTCTTCTGAGTTATTGCAACCAGCAGTTTGCTGAATGTTTTGTGACCATGGTAATGCGGTCTCCAGCTTTCTAGTCCACGGTATCTATTTTCTCACTGCCTGCCCTTTAAACTCATGCCATGTGTTTTAAGTTTTTGTTAGAGCAACATCCTGCTTCAAGGCACCAAATTCCTCTGTAGCTGGTGTATAAGTTTTCAATTGCCACTGTAACAAATTACCACAAACCCAGTGGCTTAACACAGATTTGTCATCTTACAGTTCTGCAGGTCAGAGGTCCAACCCATTGCTAAAACCAAGATGTAAGCAGGGCTGTGTTCTTTTCTCGTGGAGAATCTGTTTCTCTGCTCGTTCAGGTTGTTGGCCGAATTCAGTTCCTTGTGGTTATAGGACTGAGGTCCCCATTTTCTTGCCAGCTGTCAGCTGAGGGCTGTTCCCAGACTCTAGAGGCTGCCAGCATTCCTCAGCTTGCCCTGGTGGGGCAGCTCCCTTGACTGGCAACTCCACACCAGGGAGCTGAAGCAAGAATCCTCACAACCAGGTAGCCATCTCTGCCATACTTGTTTATTTTTTTTTTTAATCTACAAAGTGCCACATTATTAAAACAATATGTTTAAATCTTCCCCTATAATTGTGTTTTAATGAAGTCTTGCTAGTATTTCAAATAGCATTTGCTTCTTTCTTTTGCTGCTGTTACTTGGTAATAGCAATGTACAAGTATCATGTCCATTAGGGTTTGGAACTTGACTGCCAAGGCCCAATCAAACAAGGGTTTTCTTTTTTCCTCACCTGACAAGGAGTCCAGAAATAGGCAATGCAGAGCCAGTGACACTACTTGAGGAAGTCACAAGACCAAGCTCCTTTTAACATCCTTCTCTGCCATTCTCACTCTGGGGCTTTGATCTTGTGGTTGCCGAATGGCTGAGGCATCTCCAGGCACAAGAAGGGGAAGAGCCATGGGCAGGAGGTGTGCTCCCACTTAGCTATTCCAGACATTCCATGTGATGGACGCCAGCTTGTATCCTGTGCAGACTGTGTGGCGTGGATGACCCAAGTACAAGAGAAATCCAGGTTTCTAGATGTTTAGCTACTACCATCCCTCATGAACTTGGGGTTCTTTTAGTAAGGAAAACAGGAGAATGGACTTTAGGTTGGCAGCTAGCAGGGTCTACCTGGCTTGAGCCTCATATTTAATTGTCGTGTTACTGAGAGCCTAAAGTTTCTTAACGTTGATTTTTCTGCTGGGTGCTTGGAGTTTATTTTCCACTGTTAGCAAGGCAAGCAGTTGCGGTGTGTCAGGAAAGCTCGCTGGTGGCCTGGTCAGTAAGGAGAGGGCCCTCGGGACTTCCTTTCTGTGATAATAAGATGCTTAGGGGTCCTGAGGTGCAGGCCCCGCCAGGGAGACCTGCTGGTGCAGGAACGTCAAAGCACATTTCCTAACTGCTTATTATCGATTCTTACATCTTGATTTTTCTATAACCCATGCATTGATTTGTATTGTTGATCTTCTATGTGAAGTCCT